GCCACACCCGAGACGTGGGTGGGTCACCTCTCCACGCACCTGCGTGGCGGTCCTTTCGAGGCCTGGGAGGATTTCTATGCCTACTCCCTTCGTGAGGGTCAGACTCCGACCTTCGTGGATTTTCAGGCGTTCCTCGAGGATCGCTTCGGAGCCCGATACGACGTGACTGACGCCTTCGAGCGTGTCGTCACTACACGCTGGTCCGGCTCTGGTGGCGCTGCCAGCCTGGATCGCCACATCCAGGTCTTTCAGGACACCCGCCTCGTTTGCGACGTGGCGTTCCTCCCCGAGGCTGCCCTTATCGATCGTTTATTGGCCAGCCTTCCGCTCGAGTACCGCTCCGAGCTATGGCGGTACGAGTTCACATCGGCCCCACAGGCTTACGAGGCCGCCAGGGACCACCAGCGGATGCGAGCCCGTCTTCACCCCGCCTCCTCCTCCCAGCCCCAGCGCACGGGCTACGCCTCCTCCTCCTCTCACGGCACTTCCCAGCGCCGTTCCCCTTTCCGCGGTCGCCCCCACCGTTCCACGCAGCAGGGCCGCCACTTCTCGCGCCGCTTCAGCGCACTGGAGTATGGTGAGTAGGACGTTGTTGCCCCACTGTCATCTGAGGGCGACCACAACGATGACCTGGATCTCTGCGAGGCCGTCCACTATCACTTGGAGGACTCAACCCTCCCTACAGCTGAGCGACTTCATCTCGCGCTCTCTGCCCTCTCTCGGGCACGCAGCCGCCCTGGTCACGCTAGCACATCGCCCCCCGAGGTCCCTCAGGAGGACCTCCCTCAGGGCTTCGTCCCTCCTCGTGGTGTCCTTTCCCCTGAGGAGCGCACGGCTATTCTGGGCCGGCGTGGGTGTTTGCGCTGCCGCTTGGACGGTCATACCTCCTCGTGGTGCCCTTACACTACCGCCCTCGACCGCCACTACGCTGACCTTTCTCGTCAGCGTCGTGCTCAGTCCCCCCCCGGCGCCTCACGTCCCCGCGGTGCCTCCTTGCCACGGTGCAGTGTACACCTGCGCCCTCCTCAGTAGTGGGCTTCCCGACATCTCCATCGCGGTTCGCCCCTCTCGCTACTGGAGTTGAGGTATCGCAGGACTCGACAGAGTGTACTCAGCCCTCTGTCGCAGTACCGTCTGCGCCTCCGCAGACCACCGTCTCCCCTCCTCCCCCACCGCGACTACCGACGCGTCGAGCCATTCGCTCAGCCCGTTGCAGCAAGCAACTTGCTACTCGCGAGGACGTTGTGTCCTCTCTTCTGGACTTGAGCATGCTCCAGGCTCGTCAAGAGCGACTCACCCTCCATGTCGCTGCACTGCGTCGCCTTCTCGCCATCCTCTCTGACCCTGATCGCACCCTCCCGATCATCCCCGTACGACTCGGGACCTCCACGAGGGTGTACTCAGCGCTGTGGGATTCCGGTTCTCAGGGTGACTTCATTCACCCACACGTGGTGAAGGAAGCCCGCTTACCCACGACAGGGTCTCCGACTCCCATCTCCGTTACCCTAGGGGATGACAAGACCCAGCGCTTCTTCGATCAGACGGTCACCGACCTCCCCTTCTTCCTCACTCTCGAGTCGACTGAGCGTTCCCTGGCGTCTCGTCGCCACCGCTCCTCTGCACATTTCGATGTGATGGAGACGGGGTACGACTTCATTCTCGGCACTCCGTGGTCTCGTCGGTTCCGCAGTTCGTGACCTCATCCGAGAGTACCACGACGTTTTCCCATCGTCGTTCTCGTACGCCGGCATCCCACCGATGCGTGACGTCGAGCACTCC